GTTGGTACCAAGGCGCTAAGCCAGGTCACGAAATGATTGCCTAGAATCGAAAGATCCGCGATAAAAAACTCTTTCGTAGCATTGAGTATCAAACCTTTTTTTGAGCATCGTGGAAAACGAAAATCAACATCAAACAGCGTTGGTACCAAGGCTAAGCCAAGCCACGAAATAATCCCCGCGATAATAAGAGTGATAGCGCGGACCGACGCTCGAAAGAAGATGAAATGTTTAACCATCTCACACCGATATCACGGGTGCCCAACGATAATGGTTCCACGCTTAGGCTTAAGATAGGGTTATAAATCTATTAATGACATTTTCCGACACTGAGAAAAATCAACACGAATCGCGACTCTCGATTAACTAATCCACAGATATCTATCCATCGTTCAACGTGAGAACGAATAAAAAATGACATAGCGGGCGAAGCTAACTTTTCCAACGACGAATCAAAATTGTATCACCTTAGAATCCCGTAAACCTGATTCCTTAATTTCCCAATTAGACACACCCTACCATGGAACCTCCCTCTAAACTATCCCTATATAAACCGCGACATCGCGAGACACAAGACAGAAAAAATAGAAGAGAGAAAAAATAGAGGAGAGAAAAAATAGAGGAGAGAAAAAATAGAGGAGAGAAAAAGTAGAGGAGAGAAAAAATAGAGAGGAGAAAAAATAGAGAGCAGAGGAAAATAGGAAAGTCAGAGAGATAGAAATTCAGAAAGTCAGTCAGAAAGATAGAAAAAGTTTTTCTTTAAACTCAGTGCGTACATTTTCAAACATATTAAAAACATTAAAATCAGTGCGCCGTTGGAGAAGCCGAACCGAGACCAAAGGACCGAGGGCTAAACATCCAGTCTCACCGCTCTGCCAAATAACAGTAAGTTCCCCCTTTCTTTTCTCTTTTGCCACTTCGCGAATTTTCATAAAAATCGATCCGCAGTGAGATTTCGAGAAATCCGCGCCGCCATAACCGGACATCCTCCTGATGTACACATAGCAGTGTACATTCCTTCTTCCCCCTTCCCATATATAGTCTCCATTGCCTTCTTTAACGACACCTTTCCTCCTTCCTCCGTTATAATTAATGAAATTATTTAACATGTATTGCCTCTCCGACAATACACACACACACACACACACACACACACACACACACACACACACACACACCTCAAACTCAATAGCGCACAATTAATAAACTATTGTACAAACATACCATTAACCATGTCGACTTGCAAAGTTTTTCGATGTAAATCTAATGATTATTGTTAACTTAATTTACGAAATATATGTAACCTCAGCTATTACGTTTTTATGTAATTATAAAACTTATGCGAAATTTAAGCGAACCTAATGATAACCTGTATCTTAATTCGATTACAAAATATGTGTAAATTCAAAACTTATGCTTAATTTAATTATAAAATTTGTGGAAACCCGACAATTATGTATACTTTAATTTAATTATAAAATTTA